ACTACTTAATATTACAAGAGGAAAAATAGATGAATCTTCTAATATGTTTTCCTAACATTAAATTGGGAGATCAAGAATAAGCAGTCTCTGCCAGGCTGGAACACTCATAGCCTTTGGCATGCATGGCTGACAATTTTGGGAATCATATTCTCAATGCATATGAAAAGCACTAGGTTAGAGAAGCTTGATATAAGGCAAGAATTGGTATTTTCAACTATGTCTAAAATTCCTAGCAACCTACAAAAACTAGATATTTCTTCGGATATGATTATTGGGTATATTAAATTATAGATTATATTGAAAAACACATGAGCATTTTTCCACTCACAAAAAGGGCTTTTTCGCCCTCTCTCTTGTGATTTCATTATCACTTTTCCTCTATAGAACTGGCATTTCATGATGTGAGTAAGAACTCACAAATCTGGAACTGAGCTGTATGGAGAAGAAGATAGGTGACACTATATGTGGTTGTTTTATAAGAAATATTATTACACCTGTCAAATTAACTAACATTTCCTTTTCCTTCATAATCATATTTTTAGATAATATTTTAGTCTTATTATTATTTACCTTAAAACCAGAAACTTTCCCATACTGAGTTATAATTTCCATCAAATCTATAACCGATTGAATCGGTTGAGATAGTGTCACAATCAAGTCATCCTCAAAGGCTCTCAACCTATAATCATTCTTTTTTTGACAGGTTTTGAAATAGTGAAAAGGGTTAAATATCTGGGAGTATATATTACAGCCTCTAATGTAAAATTGTATAAAAATAATTATGAGATATTATGGTTAAAAGTACAAAAGGACTTAAACAATTGGAAAAAATTACAATTATCTTTGTTGGGGAAAATTGCAGCTGTTAAAATGAATGTTCTACCAAAGTTTCTTTTCTTGTTTCAAATGATACCTATTTTGAAAAATGATGCCAATTTGGATGAATGGCAGAAGGGCATTAATAAATTCATTTGGGCGGGGAAAAAATCAAGAGTTAAATTTAAGATCTTACAAGACGCACGGGAAAGAGGAGGACTTAAGGTGCCTAATTTGAAATTATACTATGATGCGGTGGTTTTAACACTAGTTAGTGGTTGGCTTAATTTAACAAATAAAAGTATACTTCATCTTGAGGGATGGGATTTATTATATGGGTGGCATGCATATTTAATTTATAATAAAAAGTTGACCAAGCTTTTAAATCTCATATTTTAAGAAGTGCTTTATTGCGTGTCTGGAAGAAGTATTATTATAAGTTAAATTATAAAATACCAATCTGGGGGATTCCTGGACACGTGATAGAGGGGGTATCTATGGGTGTGAATTTGGATAGGATTTCTTATAAGGAACTACTTATATTGGTAGGGAATGATTGGCAATTAAAATCGTTAGCTGAGTTAAAGCAAGAAAATATTGTACAGTCTTGGTTTCAGTATAATCAATTGTTGGCTAGGTAGAAGTTAGATCAAAAGGTTGGTATTACCTTAATGGATGCGAATTTGGTAATACAGATTAAAGATCAAAATCGAGCGCATATAAAGAGAATTTATAATGCTTTAATAGAATTGGATTCAGAAATGGATTTAGTTAAAGATTGTATGGTAAAATGGGCCCAAAATATTCAAGAACCGATTCCATTGGATATATGGGAGGTAATTTGGGTTAGAAATGTAAAATTTACCCAGGCCCAAAATTTAAGAGAAAATTTTTACAAAATGTTTTATAGATGGCATCTGGATCCTAAAATGTTGTCTTGTATGTATCCTAATTTACAGTCCAAATGTTGGAGATGTGGTAGCTTGGATGCTACTTATTTTCATATCTGGTGGACTTGTAGAAATATAAAAGTCTTTTGGATTAAGATTTGGTGGAACATTCAAAAGTTTTTTACGAGAAAGATAAAGTTTACTCCACAATTATTTTTATTGGGTGTTATTCTAGATTGTGATGTTAAAGAAATTAATTTGATGTTGAATCTGATAACAGCTGCAAGGTTACTGGTAGGGCAATATTGGAAGAAGGATTATTTGCCTACTATAGAAGAATGGACACTTAAAGTGTCAAATTTAGCAGAAATGGCAAAAATTTCTGCTTACTTGAAGGATCATTCACAAGAAAGATACATTTCGGTCTGGAGAAGATGGATAGATTGTATTCAGAATAAATATGGGACTAAAAAATTCCATCTAGTTTATGAGTAAATTTTAGAGTATTATTATTATTAATAGTTTATTATAGTAGAATTTTTATTAGTTTTATTATTATTTTTAGTATTAGTATTGTTAACAATTTGGATATTGTATTGTTTAATAATATCGACTTGTTTATATTATTATGTTTATTTTTAATTTGTTTATACCTATGTTAAAGGGGAGTTAAAGCGAATTATGGACTTGGTTATTTATATAGTTGGTTAATGTTAGTTAGAGTTTGATTATTATATTTGTAACCCTATACTCAACTCTGGAAAGTGGGGGAGGGAGGGGGGGGTTAGGGTGGGTGGGTTTTGGGGTGTATACTGTAATTTTTATAAAACTTTTCAATAAAAAAATTATTATTACAAAGCTCTGCTATTGCTTGGCTTTTCCACAGCTTCAAAACTAATGAACGGTTCCAGAGAAGTAGTTCCAAACAAAATTTGAGCTATTGATTACATCCTGTCTGCTTCATCACAATCTCTTTATAATAAAGCTACAGTGACCTTCCTAAACTGAATTTTCCATTTCTAACAGTTCCAATAATTCATCCTGTCTTATATTTATGGGAATTTAAACTCCCCATATCTGGGGAGCATAAAGGGTCAGGAAGGTCAAGTTACAATATAGGAAAGGATCTGATTATTACATTATTATTATATTACATATTATGTAATATTTATACAACTATATACATATTATAGCCAATCATTTGACTGAAGATGTTTAATTAGCATGGGTTTTATATACATTTTTTTATGAAGTCATCTTTGGCTACAATCAGTGTTTCTCAACCTTGACAATTTTAAGGCATGTGGACTTCAACTCCCAGAATTCCACAGCCAGCAATGCTGGCTGTGGAATTCTGGGAGTTGAAGTCCACATGCCTTAAAATTGTCAAGGTTGAGAAACACTGGGCTACATGGAGATTTCATTTCAACCCAATTATTTCTTCCCACACAGTTTTCTTGCCTATAAGGGTTTACCTGTCTTTTTAGTACAAAGAATAGATATTACATTCATGTGCCTTATCTTAAGACATTCATGTAGAGCTCAAAGTATGCATGAAGTTCTTGTTTGCATGAGCTATATTTTCCCTATATAATTTTGGTAATGCTGAATACACAAACACACAGCATACATACTGAACACATAAGTCCCAAGTTAAAATGAGAAAACTATTTGCTTAGTTTATAGCTGACTGAAAAGGTAAGCCAATTTCACAATTACAAATCAGTCATACGAACCACAAATAAAATTACCATTTGGAATTTGCACATTTCTAAATGTTACAGTGCATTTCAATCTATTAAATATTACATTAGATAAAATTTTGGATAAAATGAATATATTCATTAAAATAATGTTCACATCTCCATTTTATCAGGGGTAATTGTTTGGATAATCTGTGAATTTTAAGCAAACCTTCAAACAAAATGCATGTTTGGAGAAATGCACAAAAATACTTAAATCTATTAGAGCATTTTAAAAAAAAAGTAATATTTTCAAATTTGATAAACAGAGCTTCGGAGTTTTGCTAATGTGAGGATCTATTTAACTCTGAAACTGAGCCATTCATCCATTCCTAACACACATTTTTGGACTTGTATATTAAACTTTAAAATCATTTGTGAACTGGCCTTGGTATAGGACAATAACTATTTCATCTAAGGTTGGGTAAAAAGACCCCATAAATCAAGTCAGTCACAATCTATTTCATGGAGCTTCTTTTTTTCCTGTAGGTATTAATAACTTTACTATCTTGTATAAATGAAACCCAGTTCTATTCAACTTCAGGAAAAAAAAATTCTCACTTCTTGCTAGATAATATATAGTACCACAATATTCTGTGAGCTTGTCTTTTTTTCTTTTTTTTTAACTGTAAGAAAAATCTTGCTCCAGGTGAAATTTCAGAGTTTCAGTCATAACAAGGTTCAGAAAAAGAGAAATAATCTGTGCCTCATTGACAATCCAACATATAAAATGCAAGATAAATCCTTTTTAAAGTGTTGCTGAGTGAAATAACCACACATTCATTTTTTCTATATAATTTGCTATTAAGATGAATTAATGCTAAAATGTGTTCTTTGAGGCTTGCAATGGGAAACTCTGGGACCAGATAATCCTAAAAACCACTGATTCTTATCAAGAGCATTTAATAATAGATTAGACTATTTTTTTTTTGTTTGTTTGTTTCTGTTGTTCTTCAATGTCTGCTGCTGTCTGATTTGGAACAGAAGAACCACAGTTTCTTCAAAATGGAAGAATTAAAGACAGCCCTGCTTATGCTCAGGAGGATTCACCAAAATCACTTTATATACATTTCTGTTTTCAGTTTAGAATCTGGTTCAGATCTGTTGATTTGGCAAAAATTGGAAGGAAGGAGGGCAACAAAAAAAGTGTGTTTAACCTCCACTGTTATATGAACTGGCTGAGAATTTTATTAGAAGTCAGCATAATCCAGTAAATGCAGTAAATTAACCATCTGGACAAAAGTTCAAGGTGGAATAAGATGAAATTAATTGTTCATCAAAGATATGGGAAATTATGGTTTGGTGCAGCCAGCAAGATGTTGAGACTGGATTTGGCATTTTTGTTACCTATCGAGTCCTTTCCTGGAGTGGGCAAATGGTATTAGAAATATTATCACAGTATGTAAACTATACCAATAAAGTTGCCTTGTTGCAACTGACTGATGGTAATTTTGTCATAGCCAATGGTGTTCAAGTGGTGTTCCGGATGTTTTGGGATTGCACCCAAGGCACCTATCACTACTGACATATCTTTGCTTTCTTTTGCCACAGTCATTCTACTTCTATTTGTGGGTCTTTATATTTTGTAATTTTTGTAATTTTATTCAGTTCTTTTTCTATTCTGCTGTCTCCAGGCACTGCCATGTTCACTAGTCAGATTTTTTTTCCTCTTTCTTATTGACAGCTGTTAATTCTGGGTGTTATGTGTCAGGTACTTGAATTCTAAAGTCCCAAAGCACTTTAGCTTCTTATTTTTCTACTATATTGTCTGTCTTCTGGTCCCACCAGTTCTTGCTTGCAGGCAAATTATATTTCTTGCAGATTTTCCAATGCATCATTATTGCTACTTTGTCTTGCTATTGTTTGTAGTCCATCAGTGTGATGTTTTGCAGCAATTAACTTAATTTTCCTGCTCTTAGCCATTATTATTATTTGCTTGGCCTGCTAGCTTTTTAATATATTGGCCATGTAATACTTTTTCTTGCCATGTCTCTTTTCCATTCTTCATTTGGTCTTTCTTTTAGGGCAGATTGGTCTCTCCGGTACTCAGTAAGCCTTCACAGTATACTAACTTTGGTGCATCTTTTTCACTTTCCTTCAGATATTTTACAATGCTCTTTTTTTCTTTTTCTTCAACTGTCCGGTGCACTTGCAACATTCCATACCCACCTGTTTTCCTTAGCAAATAGAATCAGAATAACAGAGTTGGAAGGGGAGAGGACCTATACCATTACCTATACCTATATCATTTCTGACAAATGGTTGTCCCATCTCTTCTTAAAAACCTCCAGTGATTGAAGCCGCCACAACTTCTGAAGGCAAGCTGTTCCACTGGTTGATTGTTCTCACTGTTAGGAAATTTTTCCTTAGGTTGGTTCTCTCATTGATTAATTTCTATCCATTGAAAACTAATCTGTCAATATTACTGATGGATGAAGGCACGGTTCATTGTGATTATCTTTCTGGTCTTCGTATTCAGGGCTTTTAGTTCTGCTTGAGTCCAGCTCACTATTCCAACTGTGTATCTAATGGCTAGAATTGCTCAGGTTTTAATTGCCTCAATGATATTTCTTTCACTAAGTTTGGGCTTTAAGTTCTTATTCTCTCTATGATGTATTATTATTGTTGTTACTGTTATTTGTATAGCTAGAGGTAGAAACAATGGCATTAGGAGTAGAACAGACTTGCAATTTACAGAGACTGTTCTTTTTGAAGAGAAAAATGCTTTAGACCAGGCAACTCTAAGTTTGCCTAAATGCCTGTGGATAGGTCCAAACCCCATAGCAGTCAATTAGATTTATTCCATTACAAGATTTTGTTTATAGACTTCATTAGAAGTCTCCTGTGGGTTTGAACATTGATCATTAAGACAAGGGCACAGTTTGCTACTTTGACCTCATATCCCAGCAGTCAAGATTAATTAGAGGGGGAAATCCAATACTGCCCCTCCTCAGTCCAAACTTCTTAATGACCTCTTAAGCTCAAATATTAACGAGGCAAATATGGAACATGAATATGTAGATGTCAAATCTCAGTTTGTTACTAAAGGTTTGGGACTCTTGTTCCTGGCTACTGTTTTGGGACAATTCAACTGCCCTCTTTCCATTTGCAAACTAACCTTTATCGATTTCTTTTCATAGCTTTCAGGACTTCCATATGCTTATTTTTAAGCAATTTATTTCTTATTCTTGCTTGCTGTTTATGTTGTCATTGATTTTGTGAGCCAGTTTGAGTCCACACTTGGGGGGGGGGGAGATGCGGAATGTAAGCTTTTGAAAACTTAGCATTTCATTTATCTATTTCACGTATGCCCCCAACCCAAATGGTGAATATCAGTGTATTGATGATTTTAGTTTTTTAATTGCTCCCATTTCCACTTTAAATTTGAATACCTTTACATTTTAAAGGATTTTTTTTTTAATTTGTAAGCTGAAAATGTGTGTGTGCATGTGCTGCACATCTGAATTTTTCCTGTGTTGCTATACATTGGCTGCATTCTTTCTTCTCTGATAAAATAATATATAAACTGCATTCTTAAATAATGAGGCCAGGTATGTTATGATGCATTATTTTTCCCTATCATATTGATATCACGACAAACTTTCCTGGCATGCCTTTTATCCTAATGTTACTCTATTAGACATGGCTAAAAAATGCTAACATTAGCTTAGCTTAAGTCCTTTATTAATTGGGCAGATTCATATAATAGAATCCCCCAATGGTGCAGACCCCGAAGCTTGCAAATATGTATGTAAGAACCTTCAGCCAAAATAGCACTAATGAAAAAAAAAAAAAACAATAATAAGAACACCATTCCAACAATGGTGAGTGATCCAATGTAGATGGTATAATGTACTATTGAAGAAGTAGAAGTATTGTAGAACTACAGTCCCTAATACCCTATCCAGTATAGCTAACAACAGAAAATGCTGACAGCCTTAGATCAGCAACATCCAGAGATCAGCAATGTCTCCATCTTTGCATAAAAGTGTTAGATTATGAGACACAAATTCAAATCTTCCTTTGTGTGGCCAGTCCTCATCTCCCAACTTACCAAAGGATAGAGGGAGATGGAAGAACCATATAATCTTTACTATAATATTTAGATGTAACTTGATGGTATTAAATCATGGTAGCATTTTTCCACTTTGCAACATTTTTATATCTGTGTATGCATTCATGAGTGCACCTGCATGTTGTGCAAGAGAAGTTGAGATGGCTCACAAGAAAAAGCTGTTCAGTTTAGCTGCTCCTAGAAGCACTGTCTTTTAGACATTTACCTGGACAAACATAACACTGAACTCAATGGGATTTAGTTTCCAGTAGGTTTGCCACTGTTAGTGTACCAGCTATAGAATACAGCTGTGTTCTATATGCAGAAAAGCTACTACTATATATTTGAGTAAAAGGCATGTTTGACCTAGCTAATTATCCTTTCAGAGTCTCTCACAATTTTCCCTTCATCAATAATTTACTTGCCAAACTGTGGAAGAAAAATTATACTTATAAAGCCAGGAGACATGGTTTAAGCCCTGCTCAAAATAATTTATAAATCTATATAGTTTAAATTAGCATTGTAGACATTCTATAGAAAACCATTTCTTTATATGATGGAAGATATTGTCCAAAGCATAATTATATCTTAGACTTTCCAGACAGATTTGCAAGAGAGAGAGAGACAGACAGACAGACAGATAGACAGAGACAGAGACAGACAGAGACAGAGAGAAAGTGGTTTCCAGAATGCCTAGACTTAACTCACTTTAATCCAAGTATCCCCCAGTTAATTAAATCAATATATATCTCTGGTATGAATAGCTTCTTTAACATGTTGTTAAAAATGTTGTTAATGCTAAATATTGCTTCCACAAAATTACAAGGAGAGAGAAAGAGAGACTTAATTTATGACAGAGCTCAAATGGGGTTTCCCTAGAATGTGGAAAGTAAATTCAGATCCCCATTAGTCATGAAACTTATTGGTTTACCACAGAAGTAGGGAATTATCATATTCTTACTTGATAGTGTCAGCTTTTTTGAACAAATCTGGGATAAAGTAGCTAATAGCAACAATTACCAGAACAAACAATCTAAAAAATAAATCTATTCAAGTCCATGGGATAATTTACATTTGATGGATTTCATTGGTTTAAGGAAAGAAGGACTACATATGTATCTAATCCTATCAGGATTATTATTCAAAACTGTATTTGTGTCACAAAAGTATTGATGAGCAGACAAAATAACAGGCATCTGCACCCATATAATACCATTTAAATTTCCATGAAGAAATTGCTACTTTGGAAATTAGATGAGAGTCAGCTATATGTTTGAGCTTTCAACCCTGTTCTTATAGAGGAATTTCTTCCTAAAATCACACCCACTCCCACAAAAGAAACATGATTAGTACCTTCCTCTCCTTCATTAAATGCTCTGGATGCAGAAGATGCTCATTAATGAACTTTTGTCTCCTTCAAGGGAATTTCTAGAGTGCCAAGCAGGCTGCTTCCATTAGCTGAGTGCATGTGGACTCTTTTCAATCTTTAATTTCGTCTTCAGATGAAGGCAGCCAGAGTGGTATGTTGTCTGTCACTGGGACAATCAATTTCCTGCAGACCACAATGCAAAAATGCACCTTGTAATGTTAGGCCTGTGATTTTTTTCTAATGACATCTGTTTTGAAGGGAACTGAGAGCCTGCATTTCCCACTTTAGTTTTGTTTTTTTTTTTTAACTGCAAGGCCTGACAAATTTATATAAATCATACTGATACTTGCTCCAGAAAGAGAAGGAAAATAATCCACATCCTTCTATTCAGTAGTCTGCCTTCTTCTTCATTTTTTTTTTTAAATCACCCTTATATATAGAATATATGAGAAGCCTTTGTTGAAAGGAAACATAGCTAGTCAAAAGAGCCTACAATTTATAGAGATGTTAGCCACTGAAGCAAATCAATAAAGTACAATTATTGGGCACAAGGTGCGCCACTCTTTTATCTCTACCTGATACGCATATGAGTAGGAGATTAAAAGATCTCCTGCTTAATTTCTGTATGCATATTCACTTTCTATTATAAAACAGGACCAAGGCTAGCAAAAACAAGCTGGCAATTCAGAAAACGCATAGATCATGTCTGTATATATTCTAGAATTCCCACCAATTTCTTGTCAGCCATTGCCCCCGATGATTCCCAACTGAGTTTTAAACTTCTCTGAATTTCTCAATTTTGATCTGAGCTTGTAGAAAAACAGCTAAAGGCAAAACAGGAAAAAAAAACCTCATTACAGTTGCACATAAATATCCCATTTTTGCATGCCCATTTCAACTGAGTGCAGAAGCATCCAGCAGAAGGCCATAGGTGGTCTCTTTAAACTTTAATGATAATTTTGAATGTGAGAAAAAGGGAAATTAGTAAGTACTCGAGGAAGGGGACATCGTATTAACTATACATGATTTTATTTAAATATAAAGAAATCCAATTTGGTCTGGTTCTCCCCGTTCCTATTCCAAAAGACCAAAGGCTGAGCATGACCTTCAACAAGGAAACATAATTGTGATCACCTGCCTGCAGCTGGATTTCAGATGTTTCTAAGCTGACAGACTCCTGTACCCAGAGATGTTCATGGTATGCAGACAAAGCAAATTCAGAAGTATCCCCAGGTAGCAACCACAGACTGCTTTCACACATACAAAAATTAAAATATCCAAAAGAACAAATCAGCCATCAAGAAGAAGAAGAGCCCAAGATAAATTGGTCACCAAAGGATTGTAGGCAATATTTTTCAGAGAAAGCACAGTTAAAAGGTAAAAACAGTGGCAGAGAGACAGACAAGTATACATAGTGTCTCCTATTGTAAACTGGAACGACAGTTTCTTAATTTCAGAATTCTTGGCCTCTGCCTATCCTGGCTGTGGATAAATAATGTTTTGAAAAGATTTCAGGAGTGCATGCAGCTTAAAAAAAATTACCACCTGCCAGGATTCTGCCTTATTTTAGATTTTTACCTCTCTAATTGATTGGTGCTGTCATAAATCATAGTGTAAATGATCTTTAGCATTTGATTTCAATGTGCAGATAGCACTGCAAGCATTTGATGTATGTTAACAGCCTAACAAATGAGTGCATTGTTATTCCTCCTATCTCATTGTTTACATGAAACTAGAATTGCTTTGGTGAAATAGGCAAATTAGGCAGGACATAGCAATGGGTTCTTTATGTGTGACTTAGGTTATTATTATTCTTTCCCATCATCCTATTTCTAAAGATGCACAGGTGATTTCCCTTGGCGTAACCCCATTCCTATAGATGATATTTCCGTAAAAGTTCAGATTGCCAGGGATGTTTTCGTTCTGGAAACCTGTCTGGTATTTTGATTTTGAGGAAATCCTGGATGCATTTTTCTAATTCTTCCTCAATGGAGAGCTTTTCTTTTGCTGCTTTTTTTTTGCTAGAGTTGGATTCTCTAGAGCCAGAAGTTAGAGTTCGGAGCAGGTCACTTTTCCTCCGGATTTCAGACTGCTGAAGGAGCTGCACGGGGCCTTTCTTGATTGGTCGATCCAGAGTCTGTATATTGGATTGGCGAGTGACTGGGCCACAGATGACAGTCTCTTGAGGGGAGCTGGCTTCTGATTGGCTGTCACAGCTAGAGGTGGAGAGTTCATTGCAGGATGTGCCACTTTCACCTTCTTTATCACCTTTGCCATTTTTGCAACAGCAGTCACAGTGTGAGGATGACCATCGGGATGGTTCACCTGGGAGAACAAACAGAGGGAGCTTAGAGTTGCCAAGAAGCAGCCATGAAATGCTTTTCTTCTCTTTTTTAACCTACTGTGTTTGCCCCAAAGTAAGGCCTACATGGAAAATAAGCCCTAGTTTTGGAGCGAAGCACAAACCTAAAAATCAAGTTTGGGCAAGGGTGAGGGTGTGGGGCTGCCCCACGTGCCCTGCACCCACTTACCTTGCAACCAGGCCTCTCCTCTCCAGTCCACTTCTTCTCCAGCGTCTTCTGCAGCCAGGCCTACATTTCTCAGTCAGCCTTTCCAGAAAGCCTCTGCAGCCAAGGACTGAGCTATGGATTCAATCTATAGCTCAGTTCTGCAAGATCTCTGCAGCCGAGGACCAAGCTATGGATTGAATCCATAGCTCGGTACTTGGCTACAGTGGCCTTCCAGAAAGGCCTGACTGCAAAATGCAGGCTGGAATGCAACTGCAGAAGAACTGCTTCTTCAGCCACAGAAGAAGTGGGCTTGCTGGGTGGGGCTGTCGGTGCTGGAGGTGAGTTAGACATTCCCCCAAAATAAGACATTGTGCCTCTTTTGGGGGCAAAAAATAATAAATAAGACCTGGTCTTATTTTCAGGGAAGCACGGTATTAACACATTTGGATTATACAGCATTGGGTTCACCTAGGATTTTGGAAGCAAGATAAATATTAGCAGTGAAAGAAATGGTGGGCAATGAAACTTCAAAAGTGTTGGAAGGAGGAATAAAGATTTATCTGGAGGGCTAGAAAAATTGGCTCATCCATCTTATTCTGGAATATGCCAGATGGCTTTCAGGTTTTACAACTGTTTGTATTAGATTAGTACAGAAAGTCAGAAACTTTGGACCATAATCAAGCAAAGGACTTTTTCTCCCCACCAATATCATCCATTAATATCATTTCTCTTAATGCTAATACTTTCACTAGTAATATTTCTGGATACCTTTGGTGGTATGTCAGATTTAAGATAAAGTCTGCATTGCTACAAGGGAAGTTCTTAGTGGTTTACAAGAACCTATGTATGGCAGGTACTACATACAAGTTCCATTTCATTTAACAGAGTTTATCTAGCTGCTATATAATCATAAACAGAATTGCAGTCAGAAGCCCTAAACAGAACTGTGAAGTTTTGTTAGCAACATTAAAAGCAAAGCATAAATAAAAACCTTCGTTTCCTGCAATTTCTATGGATTAGCAGCATAACTAGATTTCCTCCTGGATGAGATGCTAAATTAATTGTGGATTTAAATATCACCTATAGTTAAACAACAACATTTTCATTTCCCAACATGTAAGGGTCATAAACACAGATTAAACCAAAATTAATTCCAGTTTTTGAATATAGAGGGCAGTTAGGGCACAGGTTTGATAAATGAAAATTGAGGAAGGTGAGATCCAGTAGTGGGATTCAGCCAGTTCGCACCACGTCAGCAGAACCGGTAGCTAATTTTTTGTTGCCCAGAGCCAGAATGGACTTCCAGAAGCAGCACCCACACAGAGAACCAGTTGTTCACATATTTGAATCCCACTACTGGTGAGATCACTTTGCATTCAAAGGCCACTTCAATCATTCTGTAACATTCAGTGTGATTTACATAAACAAACCAACCAGAATCAGATATTGTGAAAAAGTGTACTTCTAACTACAAAAAAGCAGAAAATGAGTTCAATCTACTCCTTAGCATCAATTTTTATTTTTTTATATGTAAAAGGAGGAGGAATAGGCTGGGGCTTTATTTGGTAAAGGAACAAATATGCTTCTCAACTTTTGATGTTAGAGTTGTATCCTTTGTTGCATATAGCCACTAAAAGCTTTGTGTCAGCTCCTAAAGGCCCCCAAAAGTTGTTATCAAAATGCAATACACACACACACATACATGCATACATACATACATATACATATATATATATAATTTTACCCAACCTTTCTATCCATTGTACATTCAAAACAGTTGAGAGTATAAAAATAAAACATAAGCAATTAAAAACACATATTATTAGTTGTACAAGTCAAAAGACCTGATCTTTCTGTTTAACCTGAATAACTACTCTATCCCGTCACAGCAACACAAAATGTAAGCTTCATTTGTATGGATAAGGAAAGGTGAAATCCATCACCATGGTTGTGTTGTAGAACCACAAGAACAGCTTCTATACACCCACAGTATACGCTCCCAAAGGTTCCCCCAAGGCGTCACAGCAGATGGTAAGAGCATATTGAAGAAGAAAGTTTGATGATGCAAGTAGAATTTCACTTTTGTGCTATCAAATTCAACTTTGGCTTCTTAAATTAAGAGTGTTAAAAACTTGTCAACACTTAAGAGTTTATCTCTATCTTTTCTAGAATAAATGCCTTTCATTCAAGGAATTTTATTCCATAGGGAAGGGAAGTAATACAGGAATGTTCTCCTACAGTGAGAATTTTTATTTTGAGGGGATATGCTCGGGAATATAAAATTTTCCCTTGTCTCTAAGTGTGTTTGCGTACAATGATGGAGATTTTTTTTTTTAAAAAAAGGAAGAATAACTGCATCACCTGTCTGTGCTCTGGATGCCATGCTGTCTTCCTACTGGTTCCACTCTCTGCCTTTTGCTCAGCTATAAAGTGAGGCACCTGTTGGCCCAGAGTTTTATGTCGGTGGTTGCATGGGATTCCCAGTAGACCTAAAACACTTTAATCCAAATGTTCCATTTTAGATCACTGTGCTTCAACAGGATTTACTGAAGAGGATTTACAATAATTATTTTAGACTATGTAATTTAAAAGCCTATGCAAGGCCTTGGCATACAATAAATTCCAAGTATCTTATTCTGCAGAATCAATTATTTCAAGTAACCATGTCTCTTTTTATATTTTTAGAGAAATTTTATGTACTTGCAGGTATTAAGTATATACACATAAAAAACAAGTCAGGTTTGTCATTATTCTTTCTCTCTAGATCATGCCTATCCCATCCCTTCTCTTAAAACACCAACCTTGCAGGAGAAAATGCTGACTTTTTCTGGATACAATATATACTTAGAGAAATGGAAAACTTGTGGAGAAGAAATTATAATGTCAACGCTGCAAATACTGTACAGCCCCAGCCGTATTTATGCAGTTGACAATGTCAACCTCTTACAAAGAAAGCTTATATAAAATGTTTTACAGATGGCACTTGCAACTAGCAAGAGTAGAAAAAACGTTTAAAAATATGTCAGATAGATGATGGAAATATAATCACAAGTCAGTTACCTATTACCATGTATGGTGGACATGAGTTAAAGAAAAGAGATATTGGACAAAAATACGTACTTGGCTAGAAAAGATGTTGAGAAAACATCTAGATTTTAAACCTGAACGTTCCTTAGTAGGTATAATGCCAGAAAAGCTTGACAAACAAAGTGTATACACTTGATTTTACATGTGATAACAGCAGCAAGAATCATAGTCTCACAATATTGGAAAAATGAAGAAATACCATCAGAGGAAGAAATAATTTAAAAAAATACTAGATTGTGCGGAAATGGAAAGTCTAACGTTGAAAGAAAAAAGAAGAAACAGAATACTTTCAAAGTTGGGACTTATTTTATCAATGGCTGGAGAAAAGAATAAGGGATTAGGAATTCAATTTGTATTAGTGAATGATAAACTCAGACAATACCTTTCCCACTAACACTGTCTGGTTCTCTGTGGCTGTGACACCTGTTAACAAAATATCCATAATTTACAAAAACAGTTGGAAAACAACTCTTGCTACTCATTTTTTCTTATTTACAATGAAGGAAACTAATAGTCTGTGAATTGCATTGCTAATTTAATTGATAGAGTTACTTTGAAACTCCTTCACTATACAGTCTATGAGAAAAGTCAATAATGGTTAAATTGGATTTTTAATTTTTTAAAAAATAAATCTTACACGATTGGAAGAGATAGTACATAGAGAAGCTTAGTTAAAAGTAGATCATATAAATTTTTGAAAAATATATTTATGAACCTTATTGATTCACCAATCCTTAGTTCAAAGATGACATTTTTACTTAGTTCCAGCAGGAGAAAACTGCCACTATCTAGTTTTTACTTGCAAAAAGGAACTGATTTAGAACATCAGGTAAGATTTATTCCAGAAAGCAACCAATAAGAAAAGACATTATTATTTCAGAAGAAAACAACATAAAAGGTGGATGTGATCGGGTTTTTGACACATAAAAAAACATTAAAAAAATCTCTGTTCTGTTTCTCTGGAATCTCACACCCCACAAATCCACAACGGAACAGAATGAATTTTATTGGGTTTATTTTTAATCTATCTGCTTTCCAACTCAAATTACAAACCTAGAAAGCTCTACGAAAATCATTTCTTTGTGGACCAGTTTCCAGAATCAACCTTCCCAGGTAGATCAGGCAGGAAACAGACCAGATGATTTATTGTAAGGCTACATTAATCAGAACCTGTCTGAAAGTACAAATTTCCCACTGTCTCTTTTTACTGCCTTATAAGTTAGGGTGCATCCTTTCTAAATTTCTTTCTCTGCTCATTATGCAGTTGTGGGCTCTCCCCCATCACCCATCTGACTGTTCCCAAGGTGGCCTTTCCCTCATCTCTCAAAATCATTCTCACATACCATCACACAGCCTCCAGATTTGGTAAAGAATGAAATATCCGAGGCTGACTCAGCTAAAAATCAAAAAGAGCTGATGAGGGTCCAGATCCTGGCTGACCACCCATCTCAATGATGCATCAGGAATTTCAGAGCGCTAAGTAGAATTCTCTGTTTGGCTCCTTGGCGAACAAAGTTGTGAAGTCCCTTAACTGAGCTACACCTGTTGCTAAACTATATTAGAACAGCCACCAGTAGCTGCCCTCTTTTGTGGAATAACCTTACCATGGGGTTCCTATGTTCCTTGTTCCTAGGCCCTTGATGCCAGCTTTCAACCTAACCTTCGTTCTTTGACTCTGACATCTTCCTTGCTACTGGAAGATGTGGATACAATTATAACCTCTGATCT